CCCCGGTAAATTTGACAGGAGCGTCGTCTTGCCGACTCCAAGGTCACCAACTAGTATGACTGTTGTGGAATGGAGATGACAACGATTTAAAAGCATTACTTTTAAACACGTAGTCAAATATTTCAGTTTCTTCATTGTCCGCCGTCATTCAGCAGAAATATCCGCCAAGGCACCGGTTTCGGCCGTCGGGATACTGAAATAAATCATGAGAGAGACATGTAATTTTGGGAAGTACGTAAGAGGATAATTTATGAATTGACAAGGTTCCGATTATGAGACATTCGATTTCCACTTACAGCGCAAATCACAGGCGCCGTCCCAGCAATATTTCACCCCTCTATCCTTGGGAACGGTAAATTCGTTCTTATCTCTCTCTCTTTATTGGTTAGACACCTCCTTCCCATGCCTTTCCGTTGACAAATCAGTCTTGAGTGTAGCTTTCGTTTCACATCTTTTTGAATGCTCATGAAATCAACCGGAGTTCTTCACTCGTTTGCAGATGTACTATATGCTTCCTCCCCGAAAATGTTTCCAGATATTTTGGGGGTCTTTCTTAGTAAAGCCTTGGCGTAAACGACTTCAGCTTGGTCCCGGGAAGGGCTGCTGGAGCGGTTGTAACAAGTTTGCCTCACGTGTCAAAGGTCCGGAGTTCGGACCCCAGCACAGCCAAGAAAATGCACCGCTAATGAGCTCTAAACTGAGCGAAACTCGAAACTTGATTGTGGCGTGCCAAAATAGTTGTAACTGTAGCGAGGAGAGACTACTTAAACGAAAGGTGCATGGCTATCGAAGTCAATCCATTCTTTAGGCCATAAAACAGATCATCATTAGAGGAAACCTGTTGTTGAGTCAGATTAACATCCAAAATATCACGTGATCGATTCCAGTAATTCTGTTATTAGTCCTAGCATCGAGAAACTCCTCATGGGACTAAAACTGGACTGCAAAACCTGGTTACTGGCCAGCCGTGAAATTTGTACTGTGTTCTTCGTATTTCCTCCCTGAGTTTATAAAGAAAGGTATTGCATACATAACCCGACTCGTTTTGACGTACAAATTGATAGCAATGTTACTGCATAAACTACCGTAAGCTGCCTAAAATAAACTTGATACGCTCAAAGAGTTGTGATCCCATCCGTTATCCCCGGACACATGGTCATGAATAAAGATATGAGACGCACGCTTCACAAACATTCAAGACGCCTGGATGAAGGCTTTTCACACAGAAGGAGTGTGTGAGCTATGCCAGGGAAGAGTTTTGATTTGATCTGATAAAATTTCAACAAACCAGTATGTTTTGTTTTTCACAATAGAGTGATGTTGATGGGCATGATTGAAGATAGCAGCAGTGTGCGCATAATTCAATCGAGAAGTGGAAAGCTCAGGGCATTGGGTAGAGTTTGGGCTTAGTGCCTTTAACGTTACTGCTAGGATTGGTCAAGCCAGAGAGACGTTTCATTCAAGGGGAGCTTCGGCCATGTGAACGTGCAACGAACGATCATACAGCTTGCAGAAATTCCCTTCAAAGCCATCTTCTTGGCAAATAAATCTACTTAAAAACAGCCACGCAATCATATTATCATAACTTATACTATGTCATGTGACATCTGGTGATATTACGACACCTTAGGCTGGCTAAACACCTGCTATGTTGAATGGGGGCAGAATTGAATGTCCACCAATTGGTACCCCTCAGCTTAGTTAGGGGACGCCCGAAAAATTTTATTACCGGAGTGAGCTAATTACGCAGGACGAACCGAAAAGATTTTTTTGGTTATTTTATTGAAGTTTTTGTGCACAGGACTGATGGAAAGAGTTGAAATCTTACAAAACAGTCAGATATTACTTGTCGAGATTCTGCACCTACCAGTTTCGGAGTCCACGTGCCTTCAGAGCAACCGGGGACGACTTGTTGTCAAACTTGATGTGTCTATCGCATTCTCAAGGACAATAAAAGCAAGACTCCAGGAGTAAAATAAAGCGGTGTATTCTAAAACGAAAGACGACACTTAATCTAGGAATGTGATAGTATTGCGATAAACTTTTGAGTAGTTTGTGCACTCAAGTTTGTCTTGCTACCGCCATTTTGTCAAAAGTAGTTTTGACCCTTGCGAATCTCGTTTATTTTTCCACAAACTGTAAATGTTGCGGCAGTAATCAAATGCAGGTAAGTTTTTCGTTTACAAAACCATTGTGTCAAAAGTAGTTTTGACCCTTGCTAATCTCGTTTATTTTTCCACAAACTGTATATTTTGCGACAGTAATCCAATGCAGGTAAGTTATTCGTTTACAAACAGATTAACCCGTGCATCACTCATTCATTTCAATAGAAGAATATAATGTGAATTAAACGAGTAAGCGAATGGTTAAGTGGATTTGTTCAAACAACTTTGGTACAAATAGCGGCGCAAACAAAACGGTTGCACAGCTTTATTCATGTGACAAATTCTGAGCGCGATAACAACTTTCGTGCCCGACTGTAGCACGATCGATCTTGGAATCAGTTTAAATTGGCAGCATATGGTTGGTCGACCATGTATTGTATTGAACGCAGAGAAGCAACGCCAAATGGGCTCACAACAGATAACAAAGCTCACATTATGATGATCGGGAACAGAATAGTCACGTGATGCGATGGAATAGGGAAGATGCTAATTGGCCTACAGCTTCAGACGAAAGTATAAACAATAAGGGGGACATGACGAGCACGCAAGAAGATGGATTATTGTTCTCCTAGGTGCTTCATAAAAAGTTCGAACTTATGATGAAGACATATTATATATGACAATGTGACTAACTGCATACGTCTTTTAGTAAAGTTCGGAATAGCCTGTATGCCCACTAATCGATCAGTGCCAATGATCATTACTTATTAGCACTTATTATCATGGGGTTCATTGTGCTCGTTCAACATACATGTTGGCAACTTTGCTTAAGTTTCAATTACTGTTACCAGGCGGTCTTTTTTACCATTTTGGTTGCCTTCAGTGGCCTCAGGTTGTCATGACAGCTGATGATACTAACCAAACCGACAAGATGGTGCGATTAGGTGTGAATCTGACAGGTGCATATACTTTGTAGTCTGGTCAGTTATCAGTAGACTGAGGTACGGTTGCGTTGTAAATGGTTGGCCTAAATGTATCCACGTGACTCATGTTCCGGAAATCGGATAACTGAAGCGGTGGAATGTTCCGATCTTTTGTGACGTTTCCTTCGTAAACGTTTTTACCGTCATATCGCCTACTAACTTGCGCTTTCATTTAGCGTTAAGAAACAAGGAATACCATGCAGCATCACGTGACAGTGCCATTGTGGTCTCTCTGTTCCCTCTGTTAGTCCAATCAGGGGAAATAACTATGGTGCAACCGTACTAATCTTGGTCTTTGATTGGGGTACACGCGTACTCACGCTACATGCACCGAATTCAAAAGCAGTGTCGCACCACTTGACAAGGAGCTCTAGTTCAGATGAGGTTACGGTTGGAGAATCAATAAGAGATGTT